GTTTCTTTTTATGTTTCCTTCTGCCAGGGCAACTTATGAGTTGGCATTGTGACAACTGAGAAGGATTATGCAATACCATGAAGATGTGATTAATATATTTTAGGCTACTGTAATCATATTCAGTTGCATAATTATCATAGAGGTGCAACAGTAAGCTAAACTAGGTTTTGAAGGCAATAGTTTAAATGAGCACTTTTAGTTTATTTAATTCCTTGTTAGAAGGAGGAGGAAATGATGTGCAGGTCTGCAAGAGCTGTGTTGCTTGCAGACTGCAGAGATTCTGCTGATAAAACATAGGAAATGTATGGTTCTGCCCTAAATATTTTAATCTTTGTGTGCCTAGTTACAGGCTTTCACAGAAGATAATCTGTTAGTGTCACACCTTGTCTGTTATAAGCCTGAAAAACAAATCTGAGTGTTTCTTCCCCAGGCTCTGGTGCCATGGGAATTTGCTGCAGAAGTTTATCAAAAATGAGTGCTTTGATTTATTTACACTTCTCAGAATCTGTGCTGGTAGATCAGGACTGCAGTAATCAAAGTGGGGTGGGTCACAATTTAATAGGTTGCATATGTGTTTAAGTCTAAAAACATAAAGTAAAAGATGAAGTTGATAGGGTTTATTTCACAAACTGGAAAAATAAAACTAAATTGGTATTAGAGCATCAAATTCCCTCTTCACAAATGATTATTTAGAAGTACCATTCCCACTTGAAGCTGAGTGAATATGGCTGTTCCAGATTATGTATATGGCATTTTCAGAGCAAGGCTGAGGGTCCCCTCTGCCCCCTGAGATCTCCACAGTATTCTCAGTCTTTCTGAAAACCCTCAGATACCTGGGAACAGAGAAACAGACTCAGCATTTCTGTTCAACCCCTGCCTTTCTGGCATGCCACAAATATTTGTAGAATTATCTGAAGACTTAAGGAAGCAAACTTTTTATTCCAAAGCTTTTATTTTGACATTGATTATGGTTACTTGAAGTGTATATAAATTTGGATTTGATTTTTGAAAGAAAAAAAATCCTTTGTTGCTAGGTCTTATAGCAGTCATGTCACATAAATTGGCAGATCTGTATACTTAAGAGATTTTTCTCTCTAATTAAATGCAGTAGTAATGTCTTGCCTTTTGAAATGAAACCTTTATTTTTTTCATCTACATACTTACAGAACAAACATGCTGTCAAAATCCTTAATGTATCCAACTATTTGAACATAAAGAACAGCATCAAGCTGTTATTTGTTCTGTTGAAGTGTTACTCATATTTCCAATCTGAATCTTTTGTACCTGGTGATCTTAATTATATTTGAGCTGGAAGTAGTTTAACATTAAAGGGAATTAAAGCAGATTAATCTGTAAACCTGCACAAATATGCCATTCCTTTGTAGGGAGGTAAGCAGGGCATAGAGTGCATAATTACATGTTGTTCTCTGTGTAGGCTGTGTGCATGAGGCTGAGGAGTTGGTGCTGCCATTCCTCATGACAGCAGCAGTTATGGCACACTCTCATGTCTTGCAGCTGTCAGTTACATTAGAAAACATACATTATTCCTCCCAGTAAGGTAATCTTTTAATCATGGACAACCAACCAAAACAAAAAAAAAAAAATTAAAAAACCAACTTGCCCTGGAAACAGGAATTAGTATACTAATTAGTGTATGAACATACAGAGAATTCTTTTAAACAATGTTGTTGTAATTTTTTTTTTCTAAAGTGATATAGCTTGAGGTCAACCCAAGAAGGCCATTTATCTCAACCAGTCATGAAGAGCCATTACAATTTTTGCAACTGGAGAGACAAAAGAAAATCACTAGAACTTAATTGGGAGAGATATGTTTCTCCAGTTCTAATGCAAAATCATCACTGGAATCCAGTTGCAGCATTTTGGCCTCAGCATGGTAGGAAAGCACAGTGTCAGCGAACAAGAATCATGGTCCATACTGGTAAATACAACTTTTGAATCACAAAGAATCAGCTATTTGTCTATGATTAAGGCCTTTGGATTTGCTTTTGATTTTTAGCTCGGGTGGCACCGTTGAGCCCATTTAGGAACAGTTTGCAAGATGACAGGTAGAAAAATGAAGTTTCAGAAAAATACAGGAGAAGAGGAAGCTGCTCACAAGCAGTCTGAGTTGCAGAAGGAATGCTCTGGGACTGCGCTGGCTACCTACTGGGCAGCTTCCATGAGAGTTTTCAGATGGCAGAAAATTTCCTAGTTAGTTTGATGTTGTTGCATAAGCTGCTGCCACATTGCAGGGGCTTGGGAAAACCTGTCAAAAATTTTAAATTCAGCATGTATTTGTCGACCAGAAATGAAACTTCTTGTTAAGTGTCAAATATTACCTGCATTTCATGAGACTGATGCAGTTGCTGCCTGTAGGACTGGCTGACGTGTTCTGACAGTTCTGGCTTTGTCAGTGTCCTATTCTTCATGTCCTTTGAGTAAAAAGCACCCTCTCCAGTGGTGTTTTTTGAATCCTGCTGGTGAATGTTGATGGGTTGATGGTCACCACAAATGATCCTCCTCAAAAGTGACCATGCCAAAAGTAAAACACAGATTCACGACTTGTCATTATAAGATAATTGTAGGAATTTAAGGGAAAAAAAAAAGGAAAAAAAAAAACAAAAAAACAAACAAAAACAAACAAACAAAAAAACAAAAACAAAAACTGAAACAGGACAAAGAAAATTCTGCCCACTTTCAATGGCCTTGTCCTGCCCTACAATCAGCCTCTGGCAGCTGAAAACTGAACCCCCTTTCAACACTGTAGGTGTCATGTTTTTTCACTTCTTTTTGTGATGTTTCCTCTAAAACAATAGTACAATACACACCAGGACTTTGCAGGTTTCCCCATGTAATGGTGCCAATATATTTCCACCCTGATTTGTAGTCTGTCTGTTATTACAGACCTTGGTCCCTTCTGAGCACAAGTGCTGACTCTGCCAAATGCACATAGTTGTTCTGTGATGAGGACAAGGATCATCTAGCGAATAAATGGAGAACTCAGTATTCAATTTAGTGGTGACCTTGAATTTGATCTCTCTTCTATCCTTAACAGCCCAACAGTCAATCTCTGTCCTGTTTTACCCATGTCATCATTGCTGTTGTATCATACAGCCACTTCTGCAACTGCCTTTTCCTTTACACCAAAAGAAAGAGAGAACAAGGAAAGAATTACCATCAGTTCTTCTTCACCTTTTCCTTAGTAGCATCAGGAATGGCTGCACAGGTCTTTCCCAGTCTTTCTGTTCTTTTTTCTATATTTGTCTGAGGTAGAAACCGCAAGTTTGATTGATAATGCAATTTGCATCTTGAGGCATCCCTGGAAATACAATGGCATGAAAGGCTACTCTGGCAGAGCACACTTTTCCCTCAGGGCTGACTTTAGAAACTCATTGATGTCACTTCCTTCCTCAGTCAGCAAGTGAATTTTCACTAATTCTCAAGACCAGCTGTCCATGCTGTCAACAGAAAGTTATTAAAATTCCTTTAAAGTGAATCAAAATAGCCTAAAAACAAATGTACTGGGAAACAGGAAAGCATCAGTATTCAAAGTCCACAAACCTTTGAGCAAAATAGTGTTGATCTAACCGGAGATTTCAAACACTCTGCTTTCCTAGCAACTTGTATATCATTAGAGAATGCTAAAAACACACACCCCTTTAATCTTCTATTACCAACAATCTATTTGGCTAAAATATTTGTTACAAGAATAAATCTTATTTCTCCTAAAGATGAACTGAGTGAGCAAGGGAATACATTTTAAGAAATCTCTCCTAAATGATAGTTCTGTGGAGTTTTTTAAAAGCATAGTTTTTATATTTAGCAAATAAAAACACAACACAAGCATGCAGGAAGTAATTATCATAAGAGACAATCTTATAATATAGCCTAAAGTAATCATCTTCATCTGAATAATCTATAATGCTTTTATTGAAAAGAGTCGTTGTCTCAGGGATGGGAAGGGAGGAACATTTTCCTTTAAGTAGAGTCTTTATACTGTATTTTAACACTTTAAATATTTTCACCTCATTTTAAAAATTCTGCTTGTGCCACACTTATCAATATAGAAAAGTTTTGTTGAAATGGAGTATCCTTTCCAGGACTGGACGTGGCAGCCACCCGAGCTAGGCAGGCTCCCCTGAGAGTTAATAGTGATACTGACAGGTTGTAAGTCCTGTCCTATCATTATTATTTTTAAAAACCCTCAGGGAGCACGTAGCCTAGCTGGATAGGCAAGTGTGAAATTCCTGACTTTCCCCAATATGTGTGGGCAGTCTCCAGTAGCAAACTGATACCAGCTGCCCTTTTGACAACTAGTGCATGGGAGCAGTAAATGGAACAAATTACTGCCCCTTTTGGTCAAAAAGCAAAGAACAGATTTGAGGTGTCCTTGCTGCTAGAGTCCCAGACAGTGTAGAAAAGCAGTGTTCTGTCTAGGTTTTGATTTTATCTCCACGAGCACACTGAAGGACACTGCAGAAGAAGGCCAGAATAAGGAAACAAGACTATAATTTAACTTGCCACTTTGTGGATAATATCAGGATAGAATTTCTCCCTAGACCAGCTGGTGCTGAGCCTCAGTCTTGACACAGGCATTTAATTTTATTTTAAGGTAATGGCAGAAGTTGCTTTTCTCCTCCAGTGGTCACATTGTGAGCTGGATGCTACCAGTCTCTTGGTCACGTAGTACATCTTGCAACATTAAAAGGCTTTATACTACATGTTAGATTTTTTTTTCCTCCCCTTTGAATGTTTAAATATTTTGTGGGGTTCCAGGTTAGCAAGACTGGCTACCTATCTCAATCTTCTTTTATAAGAGAGGCTTGTGTTTCTTATATTTTTGATGTATTTCCATTTCAAACTGTCAAGTAATTTCTACATGTTAAATTCTGTTTCTTAATTGCAGGTTTTGATTATTTTTTTACTAATTTACTGTTTGTTGCTCTGCATGTCCCCTATCATATTGATATATGCAAACTATTTTTTTCTTTCCCTTTCAGAGTCTGGAAAAAAACTGCAACAAGAGACAATTAATCAGGTATTTGGAAACTTTTATACTTTTTGTTAACTTAATTTTTCAGACAGTAGAGAGTTGTGGCAAGTAGAAAGGAGAACTTCACAAGATACACTAATATTAGCAATACAGGTGTGCTAAGGAGCACGTGTCTGACAACTTGCTGACTCTGCGGATGTGTTGAATTCACAGGAGTAGCCATCATTTTGATCTAAGATTTTCCATTTAAGCAATTCAGTTCATCTACTTCCCGTGCTGGTGCTGAGGACAAAGCCCAGAGGTAATTTGTTCATTGGTATCAAATTTTGTAGCACAACATTATGCCTTTTTTTCCCTTCTGTTTGCTAGTATTCCTTTTAAAGGGCAGAAAGCTATTGATATAAATACCCAAACAACACATGTAAGCAGTGTATTTCGGTGTTTCTTAGGTTATTTCTGCCATGAATTTTCATTGAGGCTGCACTAAACTGTGACATTGCTTGCAGAGGCGTTTTTCATCCTGTCTTTATTACTGTATCAAGAGCAATTACTTATGAAAAAAACCTTTATATATTGTAATTTATCATTTCAACATCAGGAAAAAGCATATAGAAACTAAACTGAAAAAATTTTTAACCAGTAAGAGAGGACGAAGCCCAGAGTTTGCTTTCCTCAGTGACATGCCCTTGTGGAGTGAAAGGACTCAATTCCACAGAAGCAGTGTGCTTGCTTGTCATTCTCTGGCTTCTTGTCCTCTTGCTGAATGCTGTTGTCCAGATGGCATATAAATGGGCATCTGGATTGTTTGTGAGATTTATTTTGAAATGCCACTTAAAAAGCAGTCATTAAAATATTTGCAGTCCAGCAATTACCCTCCCTCCAGCCATCTTCCTTCTAAGCTATATATGGAGGCGTTGGAGTAATTACAACACAGTTAGCTGTGAACTGATCACCAAAGTGAAGGACTAACCTGACAGGGGACTGACCACCTAAAGCAGCCTGCTTTGGGTCTTACAGCAAGTCCCCTGCCATGGCTGAGCATGGCACAGATGCCAGTGTGTCACTTTCAGTGGCCTGAGCTGGCACCATTCTTCACCAAGTAAACCCTGGCATGTCTGGGAAGCCACTTATGGGAAGCCTGGTCCTGTGGCACAATGCAATATTCAGAGTTTTTACAACATTGTCATTATTGAGAAACTGATGGATAGATAGCTAGTTCAGAACATGGCATTGCATAAGCAAAGGAAATCTTTCACTTTTTAAAATAACTGTAGAAATGTTTTGGAATTTAATGGGAGTTATTTGCTTTGACTGAGAGTTTATATCCTAGAACAAGTCTAATTAGCTTTTATAACCGAAACTGCATTTTAAAATTAGCCAGAAATCTCTTGCAATGCCACTTTTGGGAGTCTCCGTTGGCCAGAAGGGGGGGCACTTGTATTTTTAAACCACAACTTGAGGCAACACTGGCGGTGTGTGAATGGTTGACTGGAGACCTAATTCTGCACATTTTCTGTGTTACAAAATCTGCTCGGTGCATGCCATTGCCCTTTTCTGAGGAAGAATGTATTGTGATTAAAATAAAAAAACTTGCCACGTTTTCAAAGGGTGGATAATCTGCTGTACTTTGTGTGACCAGTCTTGGTCTTTTCCTGCATGCCACTGTCTTGCCTTTATTGAATGGTTCACCTGCTCTGTCTCTCTGCATTTAACTTAAGAATATCTAATTTTGGAAGAATATTATGTTGTCTTGATATGCTGAATGTATCTAAATAAAGCTGTAAAAAGTTGATTTGTGGACATGCCCATTTAAGTGGGTACTACTTCAGCTGGTAGTGTCCCATTCCAGTTCAATATCCTTTGGATTTCCAAGAACTGGAAGAGTATTTCAGAGCAGAAATCTATTTAATTTTCAAGATTGTCATTTAGGGCACAACTACATAAGCACTTCATATTTTATTTGTACTTGTATTGATTCAACAAATATATTTAAATGAGTGTTGATCATGATGGAATATCTGTAATGGAAGGATTCTTTTTATTTTCAATCCTGAAGTTAAAATTTTATATGCAGGGTAAGATCCTTTAGTCCCCTTTAAGTTCAGTTCAGCAACAGTGATTTAAACTGGCTGCCAGTAATTTAAGTGAGGGAGAAGATCTCTGCAGAAGATGGATGATGTTACGACTTGACAGGAGCAGAAGTGCAAAGGGGCAAATAGCAGGAAATATCTTGTTGAGAGGTGAGTGAAACAGAGAGGGGATGGAGAAATGATAAAGCTGCTGTCCCAGTGACCTCCTGACTGGAGGGTAAACCCCTGACTGTCTGTGTGCATCTGGGACCTCTCTAATCTTGAAGACCACTGTGGTTTCTGTGTGGTTCTTAGCTCTTCTAAAGCCTAAGCAAAGTTTAGTGAAACATGACATAGACAAAACACTCAGGGAGTATCTGCTTCCAGAAACCTTTCACTACAGTTGGCATCTTCACTAGCTTTTTTTCCCTTTAATCATAAGTCATCTGCTGGTTTTCCTCGAACATCATTTTTGTCATTTATGTATATAAATATGTATGTTCATTTAACAGTAGTGGTCATCTACCACCAGCAGTCAACCAGATGAAGCACACACACTGTTTTTCAATACCTGTTTTTAACTACCTTTGCAACTTCAGGGTAAGTCCTGGCACCAATGTACATCCTGTTTACTGTAGCATGTTAATGACTGCTGAGGAAAATAGAAGGAAACAAGAAAAAACCTTGTTTCTATATAACAGTATTGGCAAAACAACACATTACAGACCACCAATCAAAATTTGTCTGGGGAAATCCTTTATGTTTCATCCTTAACCCTCCTATTTGCTTGTGTTGTGGTCTTAATATACAGTCCTACATACAATTTTGTCCAGTGCCTCTGAATCTCTGCAGGACTGACAAGAATATGTGTAATTGCATTTAGAAGTTGAAGTTGCTTGCAGAGATTTTGGTTTAAAATCTCAGTTGTGTTTGAGCTCAGACTTGGGCATGTCCCTTCTGCAGTGAAGCTGCAGGTCAAGTTGGGACAGTCCCCAGTATCCATCCCCCTATTTTGTCACTGTGGAGTTTTTGGTCAAGGCAGACTCTCTTGAAGTGACACATCCATCCCTCAATCAGTGCTCTGTCAGGGAATATTCCCCTTTCTGCATGTGGGGCTGCAAAGCAGGAACACAGAAAGGATAGTGATGAGGCAATGTACTTGCTAGAGCTGGGGTTGGACCATGGATTACTGCAGCTCTGACATACTGTCAGTATGTGCACACCTTGTGCCAAAGAAAAGAAAGAAGTCAAAGATAACTCAAACCTCTGTTAAATGACAATATAAGTTTGTTGCACAGACCATGATGAGGAATATGAATATGACCTGAAGGTTGCTTCGGGCACATGGTGTAATAAATCTATATTAACATGATTGAAAACTTCACAGTTCAGACCAAACTCCTTGGTTGCCCTTGTGCACTGCTATAGTTTACTCCAGTTTTCTCCTCTATCCCCTTCATCATCTCAAATGACCTAGCTAAAAAAAACTTCAGTCCATTTATGCCAGCTTCCAAGTCCTGCCACTCTGAGGTTATCTGATAGGTATGGTCCTTCCTTCTGTTTTCCCAGTTTGGGTTCATATTCCTCAGTGTTACATACTTTATTGCCCCAAAATTAAGAGTTTGAAAATCTATGAGAGAGCTAATGCATTTAGCCCACTAAACAAACTGAACTATTGTTTCACCCTCAGGTGCTTTATAGAATCACCTATTGCTTGAGGTTGGAAGGCATCTCTGGAGATCATCTTGTCTAACCCCCTTACTCAAAGAGCAGGTTGTCCAGGGTCACATCTGGTTGAATTTTGAGTACCTTCAAGAATAGTGGTTCCTCTGCTCCTGGATATTTCTGGATTCCTTGATATTCACACAGTAGAAATGTATTTTGTTGTATTTATATGGAATTCCTTGTATCACACTTTGTGCCCACTTCCTCCTCTCCTGTCACTGAACACCTCTGAGAGGAGTCTGGCACCATCATTTTTACTCCCCCCACTTCTTCCCTCCCAGGTTATATACATTGATAAGCTCTCTCCAAGCCTCCTCTTCTGCAAGCTAAACATCACCAGCTCTCTTGGCCACTGCCTGTATGTCACATGCTCCTAACCTTTAAATACCTTGTTGCCCCTTCACTGAACTCACTCCAGCATGTCTACCTCCATGTCCATTTATACACTGGATGCATTCCAGTATGCCCACGTCTCCTGCGCTGGGTAGCCCAGAACTGCACACAGCACTCCCAGTGTGTCTGTGTCTCACCAGGGCTGAGCAAATGTGAAGGATCACCTCTCCTGATCTGCTGGAATTGCTCTGCCTAATGCAGCCCAGGAGGCTGTTGGCCTTTTTTGCTTTGAGAGCACATTGCTGGCCCACAGGCAGCTTGTTCTCCAGTACCCTCAGGTCCATTCCTGCAAAGCTGCTTTCCCCCTCTGCAGCCCCCAGCCTGTCCCAGCTGCAGGACTTCGCATTCCATTTTGTCAAATCTCATGAAATTCCTGTTTAGCCATTTCTCAAGTCCGTTGAGGTCCTTGTGATTGGCAGCACAGCCCTCTGGTGTATCAGCCACTCCTCCCAATTTTGTATTGCCTGCAGACTTGGTGAGGGTATGTTCTGTCTCATCATCCAGGTCAGTAATAAAGATGTGGGACACTTTTGGACCCACCATCGACCTTGGGGCAGTAGTGAATGGCCTCCAGCTGCATTTTGTGCACAACTGTTTGAGCTTAAGTTTTCAGTCCAGCTCACTGAGCACTTACCTAACCTGTACTTCGTGAAGGTGTTATGGGAATGCCAAAAGCCTTAGTAAATTTGAGATAAACAAGATCCAGTACTCGCCACTGATTCACTCATCTGCTTGTACAGGACTATTAGACTGGTCAGGATCAATTTCCCCTTCATAAATCCATACAACATGAGATTTAGCTGGAGGACAGTCACCAGTGGAGTACCCCAGAGGTCACAGCTGAATAAATACCATTTA